ATAGTAATTGGCCTTAATTAAATTCTGACGGGGCCATCCCCTCCTGCCCCCTTCTGAGCCCCGCCTTCATGGCGGGGCCATGTGTTTCAAGGGTAGCGAGTGGGTCTACATTATTACTAAAATCTTTTCGATAAAACTTTTCACCCATGCAGCTGGTCTTGGCTCTGGTATTTTCCAGTAGGTATTTATTCTGTACAGAATACGCTCTTCCTACAACTTTGGCCTTCCCGTGACTTCCCTCTCCTCTTAAGGAACCGGGCCTGAAGATCGCAGTTGCCAGGGTTTAACTTACTTACCCCACCCCCGCGATACGCGCTACCGGGAGGCGACAGCCGAACATGAGAAGCATATTGGCATGTCCAAAATTCAACTACCGGGATTTAGAAGCAGTAGTTTTCGTTTTATCTAAGTTAACTAAACACCTAATTGACTTATGGTGATATTGTTTACTGTCATGAAATGTAGTGCTGCTTACACAAAATAGTTTAGGCTCATGCATCCACAAAGCCTTTTTAACGAATGCTCTTTCTTATGATCCTTACATAAGTCCAACAGAGGGATCGAAAGTAGTTGAAACGTTATAACTGTTCAACTCACGCGATCGCTGCCTCATCGAACTCCGTCTTGTATTTATGCTCCAAAACACATTTAATGGGTGTATGCGGACGTATTGGGTGACCAAATGTCATATTTTTCGGAAAACGAGGCTTTTTGTTTCTGCCCAGGGCCTGTTTTGTCGTGTCTAGCCTAAAATCCTTTTTGTCCGCAAATGCCTCCCAATCGGGAACTGGGTGTATACCTGCCTTGGCACTTTCGATGTTTGTTCGCAGAAAATCACGCGGAAAGTCTGAGCGTGCTCGCCTCTTCGGAATAGGCCAGCGCAAACAGCGGAGGAGTGCCTCTGGGTCATGTTCGCTCTTCATACCATAGACGAAACACTCAGGCTGTTTCGGTCTCCCTCGCAACAGCGGTTTTCCCAATTGTGGTCGCTGTAATACCTCATTTTTTAGCATGGGGTTTCGGATTATACCCATCTGGCCGGGGGCAATGTATTCACATTTCTGAAAAACGTCTAGGGCCACAGACCTCTTTGGCATTGTGAACTGTTACACGCGTGAGTGGCTGCCTGTTGCCGCTGACCAAGTCTCCACTTCTGACCTTTGACCTTGAAAAAATCAATAAATAGATGGCGAAGTGGGCTTTTGAACTGCATTTATTCATTTGTGGATGCCTGAAGATCCCAGTGCAAATCTCTGACACGCTTTTGCGATTTAGACTTAGAATTTAGTCTTCCAGCCAACTCGTTATCAAAATCTCGTACATTCCTGAAGCCGAACTCAACAGTGCGTTAGGGTTTTGCAAATTTGCTTACTGCCGCCTGTTTTACCCGCTCCTGAATTTCTGATCGAGCTTATCCTCTGTATGCAAAACGTGAACTCTTTAGTATTACACCTGAAATTAATCCTTACTTGGGGAATGCAAAAGTGATCAGTTGACCTCCAGTGTTAATTGAGCACAACGGATCAACTAGCTTTCCTTCCGATACCATTTGATGACGATTGTCATTACTCGGCAAGATCCACTCGTCAACGTCGACTCCGAGTAGGCATAAGAGATTAAACGAAGTTTATCTGGACTGTGAACGTTTAATGTCTCCTGGCGCACGTCTTTTTTGCACACAGTGCCAACATTTCTGTCTACACAGTATTTTTGCCGACCAATAATTGCGTGACGCAAACAGCAAGCTATCACATTCACGTTTTCAAGCTTCCTTTGGTCAAGGACTATGCGCATAAAGAAATAGGCTATTCCCTAGTTGGACTAAGTTAACTGGCGAAAATTTTGATACGCCTGTTTATGGTCTTCACACATCGTTTTTATGCTGCACTCCAGGTCATCGAAAATAACCAACATGGGCGCTGGTTTTGGATTAGAGTTTTTAGGAAAAAAACAAAGAGCAAATTAAAGCTTTTACACAGCCGCTTGTGGATTTTGTTAAAAAAAGACCTCGCTAGCTTGGAAACATGCAATTTTTAGACGCTGCGGTCGTGTAGCACCGCTTTGTTGGCATATTTGTTTATTTGTGTTTATGACTGAAGTACTACTGACCTCACTTTTGGAAACTATCATGACTCTCGTAGTTTGTTGGTTTGCATTTGTACCTTAATAAAATTAAAGACGAAAAAATATCCCGAAGATATATTAATGTTTGAAATGAAGATATATCGAGGCTTGTTAAGGCCAAGAATGTTTAACCCTAACAGCTACGATCTTCCAGGTCCGGTTCTCTAGGAGATGCCAGAAGTCACGGGAAGGCCACTGTGGGAATAGTATATTCTGTACAGAATGAATGGGATAATAGGCAGCAAGAAATTGACTATCAGACGATCGCACAACCGCAAGCTAGCGAATGGCGTCTGAAGTGACGTCTGTTCGGCAGTCGTCACATGAGGTCCTGTGTGAGTCGGCCTGTGATTGGTTGTTACAGAGGC